GTGCCTCCTCTGCCCCACCATCCTCAGCTGACGCCACGACTCGCTCGCAGTGGCTTACCCGCGATGCTGCTGCTCGCCTAGCCATTCGCAACCATCTGCCAGTAGCTGAATGCAAGCATTTTGACCAGGCAAAGACAGCTAAGGACCTCTACGACGCTGTTGTTGCACGTTACTCTTCCCCTGCCACTGCAGCGCTTAGTCGCCTCTTCCTTCCCTACCTTTTCCCCGACCTGTCGTCTTTAGCCACTATAGACGACCTCCTCTCCCACCTTCGCGCTATGGACGCTCGTTACCGTGCTGCCCTCCCTGCCGCGTTTCTCCCCAAGAACGAGCCCTCGATCTACATCACTCTCCACTTTATAGTGACCCGCCTCCCTGACTCTCTTAGTGCAGTCCGGGACACCCTTCTCGCTCTCCCCCCCACAGACCTCACTATCGACCTGCTAGGGAAGCACCTTCTTGCAGCTGAGGCTAACATAGTCGCTGTAGGTGCTACCCGTGGCACCCCTCGCACGCCCTTCTTTGAGGGGTGTTCCCCCTCCCCCCTTGCCCCCTCTGTTGCCTCTGCCGCTGCTGTCGACTTCCTTGGTGCTGAGGAGGTCGGCGCTGCTTCTGCTCCTAGTGGGAAGCGCCGCAGCGGCAAGGGCAAGGGAGGCAAGGGTGGTGGGGGTGGCGGCGGGGGTGGTGGAGGTGGCGGTGGGAGTGGTGGAGCGAGTGGGGGCGTCGGCGGCGGAGGTGGCGGCGGCGGCAGGGGTGGTGGTGGCAGTGGTCGTGGTGGCAGTGGGAGCAGTGGTGGCGGGAGTGGCAGCGGCGGGAGTGGTGGCAGCGGCGGCGGTGGTGATCGCTCTGGCGCAGTTCAGCGGCAGCCGCAGCAACGTCCGCGTGAGACCCTCTCGCCCCAGCAGCTTCGTGAGTGGCTTGCTCAGCGTGCGGCGTCTAGGGGTAGTGGTAGTGGTCGTTGCTCGTACGTTATTCGCACTGGTCCCCACCCTGGTCAGACGTGCGGAAAGTTTCACACCCAGCACCGCTGTTTCTCCCGCCTAGACGACGCTTGGCAGCAGGAGATGGGCGACGCGTATGAGCTGCCTCGCTGGGCAGAGCTGCTTAAGACTGGTATTGATATCTTTGCTCTTGACTTTGATGCTATCATTGCTGGAATGTATGCTCTGTCTACTAGTGTTGAGGGTGACTGTTACTTGTGTGCGCCGTATGACCCTGGTGTAGATGTTGCTGCTCTAGGTGCTAGTGAGTCTGCTCTCTATGGTACTGCGCCTGCTGAGGCCTCGCACACCTTCACGCTTGACTCAGGTGCTTCTTGCTGCTTCTTTCGCAACAGTACCACAGTCACACCACTCCTCAGGCCTGTTGCTGTTTCCCTGGCTAACCCCTCTGGGGGCCCGATTCTTGCACGCTCCTCTACTCTGCTCCCGTGCCCAGCCGTTCCGTCCGGTTCCCTATCCGGTCTCCACCTCCCCTCGTTTTCGACGAACTTGGCGAGCAATGCAGTCCTCCAGGATGCAGGGGTTGATACCTTTACACCTGGATGGCAGCGTGTGGCGATCTGTACGTGCTCTCGGACTGGCCGTCACCTGGCCACGTTCACTGGACATCCCGACCTCGCACTGTTAGGCAGAGGTGAACACGAGTCCCTACTCCTCTCATAGGCGGACAGCCATGGACGTAGAGATGGCATCCTAGAAGTCGACAGGCACTAACGTTGACGCAGTTCCCCCTCCTGGGGCGAACATCGTCGATGGCATGTGGATTTTCAGGGTGAAGCGACCGCCGGGTTCTCCGCCTGTCTTCAAGGCTCGTTACGTTGCTCGAGGCTTCAGTCAGCGACAGGGAGTTGACTTCTTCCAGACCTTCTCCCCCACCCCGAAAATGACCACTCTTCGGGTGCTGCTGCACGTTGCCGCTCAGCGTGACTACGAGTTTCACTCTCTTGACTTCAGTACAGCTTTCTTGCAGGGCAGCCTGCATGAGGAGATCTGGCTGCGCCGCCCACCTGGCTTCACTGAGTCGTTTCCTGCAGGTACTTAGTGGAGCCTCCGACGGCCAGTCTACGGTCTCCGCCAGGCGCCACGTGAGTGGCACGACACACTGAGGACTACACTTGCGGCTCTCGGGTTTGCTCCTTCTACTGCTGACCCGTCACTGTTTCTGCGCACTGACACTTCGCTGCCGCCGTTCTATATCCTCGTGTACGTCGACGACCTGGTCTTTGCCACTGCTGACACTGAGGCACTTGCCCTTGTGAAGTCGGAGCTGCAGAAGAGACACACCTGCACTGACCTGGGTGAGCTGCGCAGCTACCTTGGCTTGCAGATCACCCGGGACAGAGCACGCCGCACCATCACCCTGACTCAGTCACACATGGTGCAGCAGGTCCTTCAGCGCTTTGGCTTCCAGTTCTCCTCACCACAGTCCACTCCTCTGCCTACCAGTCACTCGCTCTCAGCTCTGCCTTCGGATGAGTCCGTAGAGCCGAGTGGCCCGTATCCAGAGCTTGTGGGCTGCCTCATGTACCTGATGACCTGCACACGACCTGACCTTGCGTACCCTCTTAGCATCCTGGCTCGCTACGTTGCACCTGGGAGACACCGGCGAGAGCACTGCGAGTTTGCTAAGAGGGTGTTACGCTACTTGTGCAGTACATCAGGCATGGGGCTGGTGTTTTAAGGACGGGATGACGTTGTCCTCACTGGACACTCAGACGCCTCTTGGGTCGACGACGTGGCTACACAGCGGTCGTCATAGGGGTACACCTTCAGCCTTGGTTCCGGCTCTATTTCTTGGCGTTCTACTCGCTCGTCTTCTGTTCTCAGCTCCAGTTGTGAGTCTGAGATCTACGCCACAGCCATGGCTGCGCACGACCTGACCTTTCGTACCCTCTTAGCATCCTGGCTCGCTACGTTGCGCCTGGGAGACACCGGCGAGAGCACTGGGAGGCTGCTAAGAGGGTGCTGCACTACTTGTGCAGTACATCGGGCATGGGGCTGGTGCTTGGAGGACGGGGTCGAGTTGTCCTCACTGGACACTCAGACGCCAATTGGGTTGATGACCTGGCTACGCAGCGGTCGTCACAGGGTTACACGTTCAGCCTTGGTTCCGGCTCTATTTCTTAACGTTCTACTCGCTCGTCTTCTGTTCTCAGCTCCAGTTGTGAGGCTGAGATCTACGCCACAGCCATGGCTGCACAGGAGTTACGCTGGCTCACCTACCTGCTGACCGACTTGGGAGAGCGGCCTCGTTTTCCTCCGGTTCTGTACGTCGCCAACAAGGCCGCTATTGCCTTGTGTCAGGAGCACAGACTGGAGCACACAGAACGAAGCACATTGCTCTGCGTTACTTTCTTATTCGAGAGCTGCAGCAGCGTGGCCAGCTTCGTCTTGCTTACGTGGCCTCTCGGGCCAACACTGCTGATATATTCACCAAGGCACTTTCGCCTGGTGATCATCAGCGTCTCTGTACTGCTTTAGGCCTCGTGCCTACGTTTTCTCACTTGCTCACTGCGTGACTTTGCTTGTACTGTGATCTATATATATACCTGCATGCTTACTCTTGCTAGGTTGTGATCGCAGTACTGTTTGCTTTGTTTTACATAACTCTGCATGTGGACTGGCCTTGTGGCCCTTTGCTTGTGCTCAGAGTGTGTGGTGACTTCGTGATCCACCCTGAGCTTATTTTTCTTGTTTTGACTGGTCTTGTGACCACTTGTTCTCCCCCACTTTGCCTATGGGGGTGTGTCAAACTGTAATGCTGTTTGTTATTGTAGGCTGTAGTGGGGTAGCTTACATGGGGTACAACACTTTCTAGGGTTTCCTTTTGTACCCCAAATCTTTCTAGTTCCATCATTCTTGCCTAGGATTCTGACAGAAGCTACCAGTGGTGGTTGCAAAAGGCTTCGCACACTAACAGTTTCAAATCAAACCGAACGATTCACTTGGACTTCACTGTCACGATAGGTGCTATAGCTTATGAACCTAGAGACTAGGAACTAGGGTTTGGATTGTGAGAGGTTTGGCCAAAGAAGGGGCTTCACAATGAGGGAGATTACAAGATATAGGAAAGGTGGTAAAGGAGGGTATACCACCAAGGGGGTACACTAATAGCAATACATGCAATTATATAACTCGTATAGTCTCTCTGTACTGCTAGGTGCAGTAACACCTGAAGAGTGGTCATCTTCGGGGTGGGCGCGAAGGTCTGAAAGAAGTCAACTCCCTCACGCTGACTGAAGCCTCTAGCCACTCAGCGCGCCTTGAAGACTGGAGGAGATCCTGGTGGCCGCTTCACCCTGCTGATCCACATGCCATCGACTGCGTTCGCCCCAGGGGGGGGGGAGCCTCGTCGACGTAAGTGCCTTTGGATCTGTATGAGGCCATCTCTGCGTCCATTGTAGCTCTCCACTGAGAGGCCCAAGGCCCTGACACTACCTCAGCGTAAGTGCGAGGAGTCGGTATGTCAAGGGCGTCGGGGTCACCCTCAGGGGCGAGCAGCATGGCACAGAGATGAGGGGAAGCGACTGCTAGGAACTCTAGCTCAAACTGTCTGTCCTCGAGGGCGTTACAGCCAAGGGCAGACTCACCCCCGACGGCCAGAGGACTGGTAGGAGGAGCAGCCACAAGACTAGTGGCGTAGTCAAGGCGGCGAGTAGAGGCAAACTCAGTGAGTGGGTAGTAATGGCAGAGATAGAGGACAGAGAGGCACAAGGGTCGGTAACAAGAGAGGCAAGAACATGCGAAAGAATAGGACGGTACGTGCGGTAGTAGTCAGTGACAGGAGTAGAGAGGGAAGCAGTGAGGGCCGACTCAGGAGGAGAAGGAAGCACAGACGGAGACGGACGAGGGGAGCTAGGACAAAACAGGGCAGTACGAAGGTCAGTGACGGGAACAGGGGACGAGGGACGAGCACGAGGAGAGCAATGAGAGGTCCAAGTGTGAGAAAGAGGAGGGGACAACGGAGGCTCGGAACGGGGGAAAATAGCTGGGGTGGGGTCAGGAGGAGGGAGCGTGGGACCTGAGACAAGAGGAGAAGGGGAGGATGGAGGAGAGGGAGAGGGGAGACTGAGGGTTCAAAGACCAGAGACAGGAGGAGGAGGCGGCGGCTGCTGCTGCTCCTGCTGCGGCTGCGGTTGCTGCTCCCCCGGCAGTGGCTGCTGCTGCTGCTGCTGCTGCTCCTCCGACTGTGGCTGCTGCTGCTGCTGCTGCTGCTCCTCCAGCTGCCGTAGCTCCAATTAGCTGCCACTGCTCCAACTCTAGGCTCTCTCTCTCCAACTCCAGCTGCTCCTCACGTGCACGGCGAAGACGGGCCTGGTGCCGGGTCGGGTAGGGGTGTGGGCAAGGAGTAGTGGCCGGGGCAGGGGAAGCTCGAGGACCGCCCTCCAAAGCACCAGTCGCACCACCCCCAGAGCCAGCACCACCAGAAGCAACGCTGTCAGTCCCAGGCTCTCCAGGTCCAGCAGAGGGCGCAAACCGCACCCCCAGTCGTAGCACCCGCAGGCAAAGCTTGACTAACACCAGCTCCTCGAAGACTAGAGTCTCTTGCAGTCACGGGCTCAGCTCCAACTCCAGCACCCCCAGAACCAGGACCTCGTGCAGGTACGCTCTCAGCTCCAACTCCAACTCCAACTCCTCCAGAGATAGCACCTCCACGGTCCTCGCCATGAACAACGGCTCCCGCAGGGTCTGCAGTAGGCTGTGAGGAGGACTTCGAGGAAGGAGGCTGCACCTGAGGGGCTACCGAGGGGGGAGGGGTAGCGTGGGACACACCTGACGGGGCTGGACCAGGGGGGGGAGGCTGTACCGGGGGAGCATAAGGGGGAGCGGGAGTCAGGAGAAGAGGGGGAGGAGGACTCGGGAGACCTCGACAGGGGTACCGGACGTAGTAGGGGACGGACTCGTCGAAACGGACGCCGCGGGAGTCAAAGAACCGGTGAAGGGGAGGGTGGTAAAAGGTGAAGTCAGAGGAGTCCTCTGGAAAACCAAGGAAGACACAAGGAACGGCGCGAGGCGAGAGCTTGTCCGCGGAGGTGTCGCGAACAAGCGCCAAGCAGCCCCAAACACAAAAACGCGACGCACCACCAGGGATCCCGGTCCAAAGACTATTCGGTGAAACCTCTGGTCGAGAGACACGTGGCCAGCTGGTGAGCGGCGTACCGAACTGCGTAGGGCCACAGAAAATGGGGGGCACGGGCGTGAGTCATGGAGGTGCGGGCGATCTCCATGACCAAGCCTATGCGGCACTCAGCAACCCCATTCTGCTGTGGGGACTCTAGAAGCGTCCAGGACTGACGGATGTGTCAAGTTAGTAGTGGAAAGTTTAGAGGCAGAAAGAGGGGTTGCACTAGCAAGCAGTTGAGTACATATAGGAACCCTAGATTGGGCTGTACTCGCTATAGAGTACCCCACTGCAGGCTAGACAAATACAACATTCTGACACACCCCCATAGTCAAAGTGGGGTATAATCAGCAGAACAAGCAGTCATAGAGCAGATTCACAAGTGCATGCAAAGCTAGAGGCATTCACAAAGGGCAAGTGAGGAGGAGGAGGCGAGACTGTAGGTGGAGAGGAGATAAGAGGCGTCGGCTGAAGCTGCAGACACACGGGCAACATGAGTCAAACTGGCTCAGTGGCTACCGGAACAAGCGCCCCGGACTACAGGAGTAACTGGCTCCGCGGCTAAGAAGAGCGGCAGACGAGCAACGGACCCACGGGCGACTGGCGCAGCTGGCTACGACTGGGCTACCGGAACAAGCGCCCCGGACTACAGGTGCTGCTGACGACAAGACGGCAGCCTCCGCTCAACCTCCCCCGACTGTCCCACCCCCCTCTCACACACCCCCTGCTGGAACCCTAGCTCCACTCCCACGTCACCCCCCTAGCACCACTCCTTCGGCTCCCACACACCCACCCCCCTGAGCGGCAGCTGCAGCAGCGGGAGACGGAGGAGGAGGAGGAGTAGGGGAAGGAACTCACAACCGACACCCCCATAGCCGCCACCCCCACACTCTTCACCCCCAAACCCTAATTTAGGAGAACGGGCTGTAGGAGGGGTGAGGCGCCGGTAGAAGCACGGGGGACAGTGGAGAGGGCAGGAGCAGCGAGGAACGGGCCGCCCACGGGCCTGGTAGAGCCGCCCGAACCGCGCGCAGGCGGCCCGAGCCGCGCGCGGGCCTGGCGCTTCCCGTACGGGCCGCGCGCGTGCCTGGCGCAGCCCGTACGGGCCGCGCGCGGGCCTGGCGCAGCCCGTACGGGCCGCGCGCGGGCCTGGCGCAGCCCGTACGGGCCGCGCGCGGGCCTGGCGCAGCCCGTACGGGCCGCGCGCGGGCCTGGCGCAGCCCGTACGGGCCGCGTGCCGGGTGTACGGGCCGCGCGCAGGCCACGACGGGCGACGGGGGGCGACGCGCGGGTCCCCGTCGCCCGTCGCAGCGCCTCCCGGGGGCGACGTGCCGAGTGACGGGGCAGGAACCCGCCGCGCGCCTCGGGGCACACGGCGGGCAGAGAACCGCCGCGCGCCTCGGGGCGCACGGCGGGCAGAAAACCGCCGCGTGCCTCGGGGCGCACGGCGGGCTGAAAACCCTAGTTTCGACGCCGCGCGCCACGGGGCGCGCGGCGGACAGGGAGTAGCAGTAGCAGTAGCAGTAGCAGCGGAAGGCTTAGGTGGTGGGCCCACCCACAGGATCGACCCAGGAGGGTCGACCTGCTCTGATAGCATGTCAAGTTAGTAGTAGAAAGTTTAGAGGCAGAAAGAGGAGTTGCACTAGCAAGCAGTTGAGTACATATAGGAACCCTAGATTGGGCTGTACTCGCTATAGAGTACCCCACTGCAGGCTAGACAAATACAACATTCTGACAGGATGTCCTGCTCGCGACAGAATCTGGCGAGAACGCCGGAGCGAAACTCACCCCCGCGGTCGGAGTGAAGACAACTGACACGACGACCACGAGTGTCCGCAGTGGTAAGTAACCACCGGATCAGCGTAGAAGTCACCTCGGACTTCTTCGCCAGGGGGGACACTTTGGTGTAGCGGGAGTAGTCGTCAATGACCACCAGAAAGAAACTCTCTCGCTCAGGGCCAGGGCGAGAGGCGAGGTCCCAGACGTCCAAGTGGAGAGTCTCGAAGGGCTCGGTGGCCGGACGAAGGGAGGAGGAGTGAGGGGTGGCGCGCAGCTGACCCTCCAGGTAGGGACGACAAGGTGGTGCAAGCGAAGGCAGCAGCGACGGCAAGACTCGCGGGAGGCCTAAGACAAGACGCTGACTAGACATAGCGCGCAGGCGAGGAATGGACGGGTGCCCCATCCGGTGGTGCCACAGAACGGTGCGTTGGGCAAGCGACCGGCAGGAGCAAGACGCAGCAACAAGACCAGACACTGGAACCTGACCAGACATAGCTACCTGGTGAGAGGCGGCAAACTGGTGAGACACGGGGACCTGACGGGGGGCAGTGACAGGGGTCGGAGGCAGCAGCAGCAGCAGCTGCTGCTGCTGCTGCTGCTGCCTCCCTCGGGGGCCAGTGTGAAGTGTGTAGAGACCAGAGCCCGGCTCAGCGGTAAAGGTGGCCAGAGGCGCGTACGTATCACCTTCTACACAGGTCGCAGTCTCCTTAGAAGGCTCATACCAAACACCCACGTGACTACCCACGAGCGGCCTCACACCCACCAAGTTCCTGGAGAACGAGGGGACGTGGAAGCCCGTCAGGAAACCCGAGGGAACAGCCGGGCACGGAAGCGTAGTAGTGTAGCGAGCAGTGACTGGTCCCGAAGTGGGATCAGCCAGTGCTACAGAGACCGGTGCAGGAAGCGGAGTAAGAGTCGTGTGGTCGCGGAAGAAACAGTGCGAAGCTCCGGAGTCCAGAGTGAAAGACAGCGAAGCGTCCTCCGGAGCAGCTCCTGGACTAGTGTCTACACAAGTACCTACACTAGCAACAGGCACCTCAGCAAGACTAGCACCTAAGCTAAAAACACGCGAGTAAACAGAGTCAGAAGCACTAGAGTCAACAACAACATACATAGCATGAGGAGTTCCTAAGAGATCAAGCAACTGAGAAGCAGACATGCCCCACAGGGCAATACCGTGCGAGTGAATAAAAGGAAGCCAGTCAGGGGCAGGGCCGTCGACGCCGTAGGCCGCGCGAAGAGTGTCAGTGAGCTGAGCAAAGCACTGACCTGGGGCGTGGCGGCGGCCACAGCTGAAGCCTCTGCGAGTACCTGTCTGGACGACGTAGGAGCAAGGAGGGTGGAGGTCACCGCGCGTCAGCTGACGCAGTCCTGGCCCCTGCTCCGGAGCCTGCTGCTGCCCCTGAGGCTGCTGCGCGCGGAGTGGCTGCTGCTGCTTCTGTCGCTGAGTCAGGTACCAAGCCGCCACTCCGCCACAGCATGGGTGGGCCCATGATCCTTAAAAAAAAAAGGTTCTAAGGATGAACCTACTCTGTAGTTCTTCAGCTTCCTACCGTTTCTCTGCCTACGGCTTCTCATCATCAACTCTTAAAGCTTTTGCTTTTGCCATCCATTGCTCCTTGCGTTGGCTTCTTTTTAGCACCTGCAGCTATATCGCACATCGTCTTGTCGTTGCGTTTAGAAACTGATGTGCTTCTGTTTTTGTACGTCGCTATTCTCAACCGCAGGTCGTCGTCTGCCGCCATTTTTTGCCACGTTCGTCTGTCGTTAGCACTCAGTTTTTCAATATGATTTCCCCTCCCGTGAGACTAATACCCATGTTTCTTCTGGCAGGTCAATTGTTCCTCACCCGTGGCTGTGAAGATATGGTACGGGGTATGTTAAAAAGTTCTTTGCTTTTAATTCCTAATGTACTTCGTTGTTCTTGTTTGAGCTGGTTTGCAAAACTGGCCTTGCTCCAACATTGGTAATGAATACCCCGGGACATAGTCAGAAGATAGTCGGACGTTATTGCTGCTTCATTGTATTTAACTACCGAAATTAGAATTAGTGCGTATGTATGATGTTGGCTTTCTTGGCAATGAATGATCCAGAAATATATGAGGCGCAATTGTAAGCGGAGTGTGTAAAAACAAAAGAAAAAAATCTTTGGAATAACCTAGTTAAAATGCTACAACTGAAACATGAGATTAGATATAGTACTAGTAGGAACAAAAAAAAATTGATCGATTTGGCATAAAGTTAAATATAGTTCTCATGATCAATTAATTATTTCGTGTTCTGTCATTGTTTTCGTCCATTATTAATCCATTCTATATTGGTGCTTCTTATAGATGAACAATATTGTAAAAAAGGAACAGTATCCTTCTTTTGACTCACTCGCTGAATTTCCCGTCAGCATGGGTAACCCGCTCGTCAAGAGCAAGGCAAATCGGATTAGAGGTCCACGTATGTCCAAGAAATCTCAAGAAATTGATGTCAACATCAGCTGCGAAATACACGTGTACGCAGTTGCAACCGTCGATGCTGGTTTCAGCGCATCAACACGGTGCCCTGCAAACATCAACACAGCTGCAACTGCCAAGGAACAACCTGAACCAGTCACAACAGTGCCGCGTGTAAACAGAACTTCTTCGATTGTCCACAGCACATCCGAATTACACCCTATTTCGTATCAAACCATCGCCTATCTATGACCCGCACGGCAATCAGTTGCAAAAGTGTCATGTTGAACCAAAAACAGCCCAGCCTAGCAAAACACACTCCTCGTTTTTTTTCGATGCTGTTAGGGTGGTTCGCCACTGCCCTAGTGACTACCGACCTAAGTGCTTGAATTAAGGGTGGTGGCGCAATGCTAGAAGTGGTGGGAAACCGTCTACATGTGGAAAACTACGACCTAGAATTGGGAACCGTCAACTAGAACGGTGGGGTTGAAATATGGGGAACTTTGGTAGGAATGTGTGAGGAAAGTGGGAATGCGGAATGGTAGAAAGGGGGGTTCGGGAAATGTCGAGTAGACAGTTTCCGCTTATATAGGGACAGATGACGTCATCACATGCCACCCCCCACGGGTCCTGGCACAAAGGGATTTGAGGCAAATTGAAAAACCCGCGGAATCCCGCGGGGCACCCAAAACTCCCTCCTGACCAGCCGAAAAAAAACCTTCAAATCCCGCGGGCTCAATGTCGGATTCTTACGCGCATATATATGTAAGCCGCATAGTTGCAATTTCGGGAGTTTTATCGAGCACTGCTCGACGGACATTGGCCAATCGCCGTCCAGATCCGTGCACCCCCGACAACAATGGTTACACCGGTAGCAATTCGC